CCTTTATTCATTCCTCTTCCTAAGGCCCCCTTTTTCCCGTTCCTGTGTTTTTCTTGCGAAAAACGAACTGAATGCTGTAAAATTCCTATGGAATTCCTGCGTTTCAAAGGGGGCCTAAATATTGCATGGATCTTGATTTGTTCCTCTTTCTAAATATTGCATGGATCTTGATTCTTGAAGCAGCCCAACCAAATAATTTTTTTCTTAATTATTTCCCATATCCTGATTTCCTTTGTTCCGTGGGCGCAGATCAGGGCACCGACTCCGTCAAGACTACAATCAATATGTTTTCACTCCAAGAACCCAAGCAATGTTATAAAACCTTTTGCTAATGGCCATTGGACAACAACCATAACTGAGCAGATTTAGACGCTAGCAGCCTCTGGTTCAATTACACAAGAAGCCTGCACATCTTAAAGAACATTTTCTGGAAATTTAGTAATGAAACCAAATCACTGAACTTTATTTTAGACAAAAGCATTAGAAAACCATTCCCTCAGTCCATATAACAATATAAAATACAGGACCAATGCAAGTCAGAGCATACAATGATCTTGAGATCATATCGGTTGCTAGATCTTGTTGAGCAAGAAGATCCAATGCGATCGTCTGGAGACCAGCAGACCCAAACACATGCAAGTTAATTATTATGCTGCTGAACTCTGATGAAAGGCTTCTGATGCCCTACAAGACAACCACGAGAAAAATATTAGGGACTGAGTAACAATAACTCAGGGTTCCCATTATACCATCAGTCAAACTGATCCCCTCAAATATTAGGGGCCGAATAACATAACCAGATCACAAAATAACTCATGCTACCCTATACATAATTAGTTACAAGAATGATGCCCTCTATGCAATCCCCATCATTTTACCATCGCGCGAAAAAGCTGTTGTCTTTTCATGTGTCACTTTACTTGACAGCTAAGCTGACAGTGATGGCGTTCATTTCAGGTGTTCAATTTTGAAAAGCAATGGGCAATGGCATAGAAATGGTAAATTATTCTATATCTGTGTTAATGGAACATGTTAAAACACTGTAGAAATTTTCCTCCTAATATCAATTAAAAGTTCAAAGCATGATTCAAATCCGAGGACCTGGGAAATTGTTGAGGTCAGGCAGCGCTCTTAGGCATTCAAATCTGAGGACCTGGGGCTGGATTGACCAGCCTGGATGAGTACTCACAAGGCAGGGTGCCAAGTTTTCGCTAGTATAGAAACAATTTGAAATAATAATTGATATATCTACATTATATAATTTTTTATCTAAACAGAATATCTGCTTCTTGGATATAGCAAATCACACGCACAACCGAGAGAATTTCAGGACTAGATTAATTGGTCTACCCTGGGTACATTAACGTCATATGGCATAGCATCAAGGTTGATCACCCTCATCCATTTTCTACAAAATCCAGCGTGATATGTGACCATGTGCAGCATAGCTCATCCAACAAAGAACTTTTGAAGCAAAATAGGATATAAATACTTTATGTTTGTTTCCATGCACTGTTCCTGCTTCAGAAGGGCCAGCTCAACCCACAATGCAACCTATCACCATGGATTTTAAGTCGGCGCCTAGGCGTTCAGTCGTGATTTCAGTCTGGGCATCGGCCTCACCACAACCACTCATCATATGGCATCTGTCATTCTGTCTTACAGCAAAAGTCCTCGCCTAGGCACAATGTGGCGACGTTTTTGGCTTTTTGCACCCAGCAACCTGAGGCGGACACCACACATGAATTGAAAGGGGACGATGCAGTGGGGCATGGGAGTTTCGCGCGCTGGGGAGATCAACTGGAGTTGCACTGGCAGGAAATCGCACGACTGCAACCCCCGTAGTCCTTCTCCCCTATGTCCTGCATGCCAATGGACATAGCAGGGGGAAGGGAGCACACCTAGCCGGAATCCAGCTGCTACGGCTCCTTTTGGTCCATCAATTCATGCCTCCCTTGGCCCTCCTTTGACTCATTCCTCCCTCTTCTCTACCGATTTGTGCCTTTAATTCGTGCCTCCATCCTGGCATCCTCTTCACTAATTGACACCTTTCGGTTCATGCCTCGTTCCTCTTCTCGACCAGTTTGCACCTCTGATTCACGCATCCTTCCTCTGCTCTGCCAATTCCCATCCCTATCAGCCTGTTGTCACAAGCTCACGGGCCGTGGCACACAGGTATCTCTCTCTCTCCCACCCGCCTCCCTCCTCTTATGGTTGTTGCTTGGACGTGCATTGCTCCTCCAGCTTGTGCCTGCTCTGCTGTGATGCACCTGCTTGTGCCTGGATGCGAAGTTGTGAACTGCTCTGCCTGCTTGTACTAGACTGCTAGTGCTAGGTGCCCAGCACTTGTGTTTTGTGCTCTGCAAGTCTGCTGCTGTATATCCATAGATCCATAGTGTTTCACTGCTATGTGTAAATGTGTGGCTGTGCTTTACTGCCTTTAGTTAGTTTATTCATCTTTGCATTGATTAGAGTTTACAGATTGTGATATATGTCTCTGTGTCAGCTACAGCAACAAGGTATGTTTATGCTGCATTGCTGCTCCACTGTAGGTTGGAATGTATGTGTGGTGTCGCGTCACCGCAGGCCTAGGTGTCTGGAAGGGGGCGGGTCACCCCACCTTGCCTTACACCTTCATAACCATGCTTGTCACTAATGATTAATGTGTTTTGTACTGTTATCTTATTTCTTCAGCTAAGAACTTGACATCAATTTGTATTTATGTGGTAGTCGAAACAGCCAGTTAGCTGTTCAGGTTAACAAGAATTGATAGGTCAGGCTAATTGTATAGTTTTTTAACTTAATTTTAATCACAATGACGCCCTTTCCTTAGATGCTATTTTGTCAGTGTTAACCACAAACACCTAGAAAGATCTTGGTCATTTTTAATTGTTCCTGCTAAGTGAAAAATAAAAACATAATCAGTGTTATTAACCATTAATAACGAGATAGGTTTGCACTGCTCATTTAATCCCGCTTTTACTTCTGTTTAAACTAGTAAACTAGCTGAATACTCTGATTTTCAAACACTTTTAAGAGCTATCCACCGTAATGTGGTTAGAGCTGCGCCCTCCATTTCGTTACATGGAGAACTAAGTAACGAGTTATAATGATCTACCAGGTAAAGAAGTAGCAGAAAACATTGGACCTATGTCTGGTATAAAGCACTCAACACAGAAATGCAATAACCGCAAAATCTTCACTCGCTTCTTCATTATAAGCAAAACTAAGCCATTTCATTGTGTAAGAATGTTGGATCAGAAATAAGCATCTGAATTTTATACTGACTTGAAGCATTGCATCAAACGCTTGAAGGGCAAACAGGCAAAATGGAAAACCAGACCACACCAGGACGATCGGGACTCGAGGAGCTTACCAGAGGCTACTGAGCATTGGCAGCGGCACCCTCCGCGGCTGCTGCTGCCGGCTTCGGAGTCGGCGGCGGCGGGCGGTGGGAGACGACGAGCGGGGGTCTGAGCGCGCGCCTCTCCGCCTCGGCCTGCTTCCGCGCGTTGTACATCTCCTCGGTCTCGACGGCGACGAGGCGCTTCACCTGGGTGAGCATCCCGAGGAGCGACGGCGTGGTGCGGTGCTCGACGGTGCGGTGGCAGCGGCGGAGGCGCATGGCCTCGAGCGTGCGGCGGTGGAGGCGCCGCGTCCCGGGGAGGCCCCGCACCAGCGTGATGTACAGCCGGGGACTCCACGCCACCGGCACCCGCGACTTGAACGCATTGAACGCGCTCCCGCTCATCTCCGCGCCCCTCTTCCGGCGATCTCCTTTCGCTCGTGGCGTGGATTGGAGGCTGCGGCCGCCGGAAGCCTAAACCTAGGCGAGGACTGCCTGGGGCGTGCGATCTGAGACTGAGAGGGTTGGGCCGGTTGACTCCAAGGTCCACCAACTTGAACCTTGAAGGCGACTATCATATGGGCCTAGAAGGCCGAGATAGAGGGCTATCGGCCTGTTTGGTTCAGACCACTCTCGGAGTAGGAAGAGTATGGTGGATGGCCACAATTTTCGCATTCAGCTGTGGCCCGTTTGATCATTGATGTTTTTTTTTTGAATTTTGGTTAATAGATTTATGCCCATCCCTTCTCCACCACCTTCTCCCCATGCTCGGCTCCACCACCACTAGATTTGTTGCATGGATAGCTATTATGTGTTTAAAAGATTTGTTGCAAGTCAGCAACAGGTAGAAAATATCATCGCCCTGTTTGTTTGGGCTGATTTGGCTTATAAACCATGACTGAAAGTATTGTTATTTGGTTTGGTGTGAGAGAAAAATATTGTTCGTTGGCTGATAAGCCATGGCTTATAAGTCAAATACGACCAAGCAAACAGGCTGCATAACAGAAGTTGGATCCAGTAGTCTTCGAGGTAAATTTTGAGTTAAATTTTGTACTACGCACACAGCAATTTTTTTACATACATCATCATGAATGGAGGTGCAAAATCAATTTGTACATGCCTAGTACAAATTGAATCAATAAGATGTGCAATTTGCGACTGCTAACCCGTAGGATGATGCAAGACAAAACACCAGTTATATAGAAATTATGATGTGACAGTGCCGGCCTAAAGAACTGTGAGCTGGCAGTCCATCGTCCTTTACCGGACACACTCGATCTCTTCTGATTCTGGAAATTAATAGCAAATGCTCAGTATCAGTATCTCACTGCAAATCTGCAACGATTGCACATGCACTTGCATTAGTTTACTCTGAAATAGCACTGAGCTTAATCTACAGAAAGAGGACTACTGGAGCAGTTCTCTTTTCATTCTATCGATCTATCCGAGAACCAAACCCAATTTACATAAAAAAAACCAAGCATTTTCTCCACTCCTTCTGATTAGTTTACATCGAGCTCTACAAGATTCAGAACTCAAGGGGTGGTACAACAGAAGTAGGAGAAATAGCCGCTTGGGCGTGGCATTGCCAGAATCACAATTCACAACAACCTAACCGAACATCATTCTCCGTTTTCAGTTACCAGCAGCAGGATCAGAAGGATGGGAAGAACTTGTTGAGGTTGAATGGGAGGGAGTAGAACTCCTCGCTGCGCGGGTCAGTCTTGAAGGACCTGAACCTGTCCCAGAAATGGTGCCCCCGGTCCTTCCTCACGGTGCCGTCTCGCCTGTGCAGGGTGTTGTCCAGAAAATACGCCACAGCCCCGGCAACAAACGCCTTGGAGGAGAATACCACGTTGATCATATCATTGAACTGGACATGAGCACAAGGAAAAGCATCTCTTAGTTTGCAGCTCTTCAGCGTGCCAAATGAGCAGTAAAACGAACTAGAAGGTGATTTCAGAAGCACATAACACCAGAAAACAATGTCACAACCATGTCTATAAACTTTAAACCGATGCAATGCAAATGCAACAATATCAAATTCCACTGTGCAAAGTAGCAGGTAGAGCCAGAACCATGATGTCTATAAACATTAAACCATATTGCTCTTATCGTATAAAGACCAAAATGTGTTTCGAACTGGATCTTACCCATCTTGCATGCGTGTGTACTGGACCGAAGCCTGCGACGGAAGTGTATTCATTGAAATATTGTGGCACGGACAAACCCATAAACAAAGAGAATCCCAGGATGAATTTTGTTTGGAAGCTATTCAGGTTGCAGAACTGTAGGAACCCAACACCTGCCATACCTGTTTGTACAGGAGAACACATAGCCATTTCATAATAATTCAACAATTCTATATTAAAAAGATGCAAACTTTAAAATTTGCTTCGTGCTACGTACCAACATATGCGAAGAGAAGACAATATATAGCTGCGATTATTGGGCCAGGAATTGATGCAAAAACAGCTCCAAATTTCCCTATAAAGGCATCACAAAACATTACCATCACAGACAGTTGATTATCATTAGAAGTGCAGGAGCATAGTATGAATTGTTCAATTGTATCTGTCCAGATAACAAGCTTAAACAAGCCAGTCTTAAAGTTAACCTTAACTACTTAACACAAAGTATTACAGCCAAAAGCTGTTGAATACATGATCACATAAAAGCATGAGCCGTACCAAGGATCGAGAAGAATATCATAAATCCAGCAGAAATCTGCACAACACGTCTACTACCAACGCGTGTCAAACCGAGCAGCCCAGCATTTTCGCTGTTCCATAGCAATATTCAAAATCAGACAAATGTTGAATAGTATTCAGATCACATGATCACACTATAAAAAGTAGTTGCAGCAGCCATCTAGAATCTGCTTACACAGATACAGAGGTTCCATTAGCTGTTCCAAATAAGCCACCCAGCAAAATGCCAACTCCCTGGAATGGCACATAGACAAATTAGTTGGGTAAGTCATGCTCAGATGTCATTCAAAATTTCAGATACACTAACTGCAAATAAAGGAATTTGGACGATACCTGCCACCCAATGCCACGACTCATGACGGAAGGAGGGCATGGTGTTGCACTGGCATACCGTGAAATGGCAATAAATGCACCAGTGGACTGCATCATGCAGTAAGGAGTATTAGCTTGAAGATGATATGCAGTCCCATCTAGGATAACAAAGCTGCTAACATATCATGGGTTTGTCCAAATAACATACCTCCACAAGAGCAACAAAAGAAGCTGCCATCATAGCAAAAGCTTCACCAGCATCAAAGGTTGGTGCTCCCCACTGAAATGGATAAGGTACACTTATCCTGCAAATTGTAGATCAATAATCTATCAATCTAGTAGCCATGGAGCTTTTTGCAGGATGTTACATTCTGAATAAGTACACAAAACATACAAAGCTCTGCCTCTTAGGTTGGGAAAGAACATGCAGAAGGATGGATTATATTTACCATGGAGCGCCCCCAACAAGCCCAGATCGATCAGTGCGGCAGTGGAATTGGGTTTTGGGAGCAGCATTCTTATAGGCACCGCCAACCGTCAGGAAGAAGGCATAAAGCCAGATGAGGGCAATGGACATTATGACAGCAAACCGCTCAAAGGCAGTACTCAGCAAGGGGACCAGATGTGGTATGTACTGCAAAAGAGAAACAGAAATTGTACATTGTTCTCAAGGATCCAGCAACCGTTTTGGTTAAAATCACACAACAGGAATTCCTGATGCATCCTACTACCTGAGAAAGTGCCACAAGCAGTAAAATCTGTGGAAGACCAATCTCTACACATTTGGCAACCTGCAGGGGGTAAAATAAATTCATGTTACTATCTCACTGTTGCTAAATACATCATGCAGGTATATTATAGGGAAAATGTAGTACTACATGTAGAGAGACATACACTTGGAAACCCCAGTTCATAGAGCCCGAATCCGACGAGGGCAACCAAGGGAGCAGCAGACAGCGGGCTCAGCAGCCTGCAACAGGAGTAAGCACAGACAGATGGGATCAGAGGAGGTACACTGGGACCTGAACACACGAGGGGGGCGGCGAGAGCAGGAGACGAACCTGACGACAATGCGCCAAAGGCCACTGAAGCCCATGATGATTTGGAGGGTGGAGGCCACTATGAGCGCGCCTTGCGTGCCCCGCATGATGCGCACGAATTTCTGCAGCAAAGAGATTAATCCGTGCTATCGGTAAGCCAGGCAGCCTCCGTTGGACTTGGAACCGGGCAGGACAGGAAGGCGAGGAGGCGCACCTCGTGGGGATCGGCAATGCCGCTGTAGCGGCCGGCGAGGATGATGGAGATGGTGGGCGCGACGAAGGTGTAGGAGGCCCCCATGACGGCGGGGAGGCGCGTGCCGAGGAAGCTCTGGATCAGCGTGTTGATCCCGGCCACGAACAGCAGCGTCTGCACCACCCGCGCCTTCTCCTCCTGTGCGAGAAAAAAGATTGAAAGCGGCGAGCTTTCGTGTCAGGCTCTGGCGGGCGGCGGCGGACACACACACAGAGAAGAGAGAAGAGAGAAGAGAGAGAGAGAGAGAGGAGAGAGTCGGGGTCTCGGGGGGGACGTACATTGCCGCCGCCCATCTGGGGGACGAGCGCGGTGGGGATGATGACGGTGGTGCCGAGCATGACGAGGTAGTGCTGGAAGCCGAGGAGGACGGCCTCCGCTGCATTGCAAACAAGGGAGACGGCGTCAGTCGCGAGCCCGAGAGAGAGATCCAGGAAGCAACGCGCGCAGGCAGCGGCGGCGGCGGCGGCGAGGACAGACGGGGCGGAGGAGGAGATGGGAGGTAACGGGGGGAAGGAAGGAAGGAAGGAAGGGCGTACGCCATGGGGGCGGGCTGGTGAGGCAGTAGGAGACGGAGGGCAGCTGGTCCCTGACGGCGTGCGGCTGCAGCTCCTCTTGCTTCGGCGCCGGCGCCGCCATCTCAGGAGCTGTAGTACGTTTGCCGCTTCTCCCTCCTCTCTCTCCCTCTCTCTGTCTCTCCGCTTTTCGTGGGACGCCCGAACGGGAGGGAGCTTAGCGAGTGAGCTGCAGAGGAGCTAGTGTGAGGAGTGAGAGCTGCCGAGGGTGCCCTCGTGGTGGTCGTGGCGACGCGCGATTTGAAGCAGACGGTGCGGTGCCCCGTGGGTGGGGAGGCGCAGGCGCAGGCACGAGGCAGCGCACCAACGGCAGGGCACTGATGACTCCGCGGTGACTCACGCACGCAGCGGCTGGCCGGCTGCCACTGCCACCGTGCCACGCACATCCAACGGCTCCCCCGCGGCCGAGCAGTAAAATATTCTCCCACCGTCCCGCGGCCGAGCAGAGGCACCCGCGGCCGGGCCGCGTCAAACCGGGTCTCCATTCCGTCGTCGTCCTCCTGCCCGCTCCACGTGATCCTCACCACACTAGTCTTCTCCCTGTACCCGTACGGCGGCCGCCGGGGGTACTGGGTAGAGCTCTGCATGCACAGGGAGTGAGCAGCGCGGTGGTTCCCTTTGCCTCCGGCCTCCGCGTAGGTGCCGAGTTATTACGGCCATAATTCCCACGCGGCCACGCCTGTCGTGTCGTCCTCCCCGCGGCGTGCGGTACGTTAAAAAAAACACCCCCGCATGGCATGGGCGCATGGCCGTTGGCCGCACCCGCACCGCAGGCCGCAGCAGCGTCCGAACTCGCTCGCACACGCCCGCCGGTTTGACCAGTTTCGTTGTGTTTTTGTTGCGGGCCTCGCGGGCGGCGCGGTGCCGGTGGTGAGTGCATGTTGCTGTTTTCAGAAGCACAATCATACGCCTGCTGCATGCAGGTGTCCGTCCTCCTGGCGTTTCTCCCATCCCCAGCTGCAGCTGCAGCTGCAAGGAACGAAGGGGCTGTTTGATAGGGTGGCCCTTTGGCCTAGGTTACAACGCCCTTTAGCTCGTTCGGTTGGTTGGTTCGTTTATGTGAGAGAGAAGTACTGCTGGCTGATTCAGGTAAACAGTACTCATGTGAGGGGGCTGGCCAGCCCAGCCAGCCCAGCGATCAGGCGGCTTGTTTGATGTCTTGGGCTCACTCGTGAGCCACGCCTCCGCGATACAAAATCTACTCTCTCCTGGCTCCCTGGAAACGGAAAAAAGGGTCATTTCTTTTTGGCCCGGCTCGCTGAAGCCATCGTGCGCTCGGTGGAGTCACCTCCCGAGTCCCCGTGTCTCACCCACCTCCTTTCTCGTAGCTGTCTCCTTCCTCGTGTTCCTTTCGTCCGTACGCCACAGTCGCCGCCTGCCTTGCACCGCTGATAGTGCCTCGGTCCAGATGAAGCCTCCCTCTTCCCAGATTGGGTCCTAGGCTACAGCCACCGCCGTTGCCGCATCCGTCACCTTCACTCCGCGTGCCCCCTCCCTCTCTCTCCCTCCCTCTCTGTCTACGAGCAGAGCGCGCGCGCGGCACCGCCGCTGGTGCACAGATCTAGCCGCCGGTGCGCTGAGCCAACTGCGTGCGTGTGACTGCCGCCGTCGCCGAGGACGAGCTCCGGGAGGCCTTCCGCGTCTTCGACCAGGACCAGAACGGCTTCATCTCCTGCGACGAGCTCCGCCACATCCTCCACAACCTCGGCAGTGACTCTCCAATGAGCACTACTATGAATATCCGCTTCTATGACGAATAGATTTTGTCACTGAAGGAGCTAAGTTCGTCATAATTTCAGTTTTATTACGAATTTACGATGAAAATCGGTTCGTTATAGAAGTCGCGTCAGTCTTTGCATATCTATGACGAATCTAGCAAAATCGTCATAGAAGTGTCTTACTCTGTGACGAAAAACAAATCGTCATAGAACTGTTTTGACATGCGTGTGGTGGGCGCTTCCGTTGTACATGCTATAGCCCACGTGTACATGCTACAGCCGGTTGCATTAGAGATAGTTCGGGTACGTGTCATCTTCTTATTGCGGCATCTCTGGTTCTTGCACGTTTCAGGTTCTTATTGGACCACATATCGTTTTCCTATTGTTCCACAGGTCAGTTTTCTACTAGCACACGTGGCGGGTTGCCGTTGGATTACGTGTCACTTCTTCATTGGACCACATATCGTATTTTTGTTGGACCACATCTTCGTTTCTTATTTGACCACGCGTCGCTATGCTGTCTGTCCACGTGTCGTATTTTTATACGTCCATGTGGCTTGACGCTTTCCTTCCACGTGTCAGATTTTTAATAGCCCACGTGTCGTGCCCTGGCCAATTCACGTGTCGTGCACTAGTTCATCCTAATGTGTTATATTTTTATTTGATCACATGGCATGTCCTGATTCTACTGTGTGGAGTATAATCAATTCATCATAGAAGTAATTGGAGATCATCACTACTGCACAGACTGACTACATAACTATTTAGCCTGGCAATCAAATAACAACAATTTACATTTCAACGTCAGCAACGAACCACTAACAGAGTATCACCACATTAAACCGGCATATGAGTCCACACATCAAACCGGCACATGAGTCCACACATCAAACAACAAATGTTCACTGCATCAAGCCACAGGAGTTGAAGACTGAGAATTACCAGAAGAGCTAAAATGCGTGCATAGCTCACGGAGATTGTTGTACTCCTCCTATTGCCATTTCTTGTATTCCTCAAGCTCTCTTTCAGTCTTTTCTGTCTTCCTCTTCAGTTCAACCACTTGATCGACGAGGGCAGCGGAACTTTCTTGTTCAGCAGCAAGTTGTTCTCGAAGCATTCTCTACGTTGATGTCTCTGTTCTGGTGGAGCTTGTCTGGATACCAGCATTTTTTAAAAAAGGTTATTGTCGCTTCTTTGGGAGGGGGCCTTGCCCTGGCGGACGCAGAGGACCTTGCAAACAACATCAGCACTAGTAATTGGTTGCTGCCCATCAGCAACAGGTTCTGCTTATATAGTTTCCATAGCTTCCTACGAAATTCAATCAGTAAAACATTAGGTTACAGATAGTGTAAAAGGACTTCAATTAAAAACCCAAGAGATTGATTCATAACAAGTAATGCATAGGTCTTCCTCAGCCTATTGCCAATAGAGATTACATAAGCTTTAGTAGATTTCAGTAGATTTCCATAACACTAGGCTCCTACTACGTTTCCTTCTTTTATGGCAATAGCTTCAGTAGATTTCAAGGGAAGCAAAAGAATGTATTTACAACTGCTGCTCTTGCAGCATCGCTCAGGCCATTTTTCCTACTGGTATGGAAGTCCCTGAAGACTTCCACAACATTAACATCTTCATTAGGTGGATCATTTTCTTCTTCAAGTCCTTGATGTTGTTCTGTTGCATTCCTCTTATTCTCCTTCTGTTCACATTGCACATGAGTTTTGGTTTATATTTATACAAAGGCAAGAGTAATAATAAAACACAACCATTACTTACAAATTTTTGCATTTGGACAACATAGGAGCAAGATCCTGCAGCCTGATGGTACTTCACTTTTTCACGATTTCGCTTGTTCTTCTCAAATATTTGCTATAGCTTCATTTGTGTTAGACTACAACACAAGTAGACCATAACAAGACTAGACAGGAAATCGATGGGTTCAAACACCTTGTTCTTAGCACTAGACCAAATCTTGACAAGTTAACACCACTGTACTTCATTCATGGATGAGATAGGAGAGGTCATACGGATCTGATTAGCAAGGACACCATTGAAGTATGTTCTCTTCAACCTATAGTGTTCCTGCCATACCACAGACTGCATTACATTCCGGCAAGCTTTTTTTGTTGGTGAGTGATCACCGCTAACACGCAGCCTTCCCTGCATACAATAGTGTGAATGAAAAGTAAATCCGTTAAATTTGCTCAAAGCAGAGTTGAATGTCAAGAGGGGATACCCATACATACATTTAGCCTTCCCACAAATCTTGTGCAATAGACGGCACCGGGCTTCTCCCCCCTTGTATTCTTTTTTATGTGTCAAAATTGGTACTTCCTTCCTAACTACTACACCTGCCTATCTTAGTAGTAGTTGGATGACATTGAGTAGTGGGATGTCACTTCTCTTCTCTTATTTGCATGTATTAGATTAAATTTGTTAAGCTTGCAAGAACCATGGCAGCGACAAGTTCATACGAGCAACTCTCGTTTTTCCTCGTTTTCCGGTGATGCTTGTTACTGTGTCGTTTACAATTTTAAGTTTGGGCCCTATTTTTAAATCTAGGTCGGCGTGTAGGATTGTCCGACCACTAAGAAACAACACGGGCCAGACTTTACCGAATAGCAAGGGCAGGGATGACATGAACTTTTTTGTTGTCCATGTGTATATGCGATGATGGTTCTTGTTGAATATTATTAGATTAATTATGAAAGATCTCTCTTGAATCTTGCAAATGTATTTTCATTGTTTATGATATCAAATAAATATCATTAGATTAATTATGAAATATCTTTGTTGAACTTGCAAGAACCTTGTAGCGAGGAGCAAGTGTTGTCTCAGTCTAATGCAAATCAGAGGAGCCATTGATACAAATAGATATGGACTAATAACACAACTAATTGACTAATTATTAGAAACTCTTGGAGATGCTCTAAGCACCCAATCTTCAAGAACGAGCACCTCGCAAACTTGAAGCACCCCCAATCGAGTATGGAGCCCCTGAATAGAAGAAAACCAGATGATTACAATTCTTCTATTAACACAAGATCTGCAAGAAGATATGCAATCATCTAGGTCAAGCTCCTATTCAACGGCAGCACCTCACTAAGGATGGAGAAGGAGCACCTCGCAAAACATGCACTAGCACCTCTAGGCGATGAAGAAAGATGATTGGCTCACAAGTGTGTGGATTCAAGAGTGTGTGGATTGAGCCTAAGAGGTGCATCCAGACCCGGGTTAAATAGGCCAGCCATAGATAGAGAAGTGCAAGTAATGGTGATGCAAGTACTAGTAGTTGGGAATTAACTCACTCTGACTTTACCGCCTATAGACCAAATCTGACCGAGCT